TGTCCTGCAGCCACCAGGACCCCTTGCCTTGCGAGTTGAATATTTGGTACTAAAGTCAATATACCTATCAAATACAAGATAAACGTCACCACATCTGAGTCGCTGTTGTAAATACTGTTTGAAGGATTCCACAGTCTCGAACTAGAGCTTCGTTTGTTGGGCTAGATGCTGGCCATGGAATACACCAGAGGATTGCACAACCATCCAGAACAGTGCAGTTCATTATATCTGCATTTCTCCTTGAAACCTCTACTCTGGTGCTGTTCTTCAAGTGTGCTTTGGACTTACAGATCCGCATTTCTCCTAAAATAGAATTGGTAAAATGAATCTGAGCCAAAACCATACAGTTGTAATAAAATAACGGTAATAAAGCCATTTACATATGTTCTTATGTAATTATTGATTGATAGGAATTGTATAGTGTGAGTCTCACCTGATTCATCAAATAAGGCAGTTGGAATTGGTGCAAGCTCATATAACAGAACTTCCTTGAAGTCTACCTCTCTTGAACTGGCCTGAAGTCCAATCACTCGTGAGAATATCAATTGAGTGTCATAGAGAACCTTGGGTCCAATGGCAATTCCCTTCTTTGTCACTGCCATAGTTGTAACCTTCTTTTGTACACTTTCCCAAAAACCAGGTGGCAAAGCCTTTTCAAACTCAATCATTTGGTTAAGGCCAATGCTGATTGCCTGGTCTACATTTACCTGAGAAGGTGCAAGAGAACCACTTGCTACATTGACTAACTGTTCGGGATGTGTCTCTGGTTTAAGTGGATGTATACACATCTGCAGCTTTCTCTTAAGGCCTTCCCTGTCTTTCTTGTCACTGTCCATTCGAGCAGTTGCTTCCTCTTTGTGTCTGTCCTGGAACCTGTCATCATCTGAGACACCTCTCAATTCTGCAAGATCTTCCATTAATTGAGAACAGATGTGACGGCTGAGTGCCCAAGTTTTGAGAGTTTCTGGTTTTAGTGTGATTCCAACAATTCCTGCTCGTCCATGCCCATGCCTCATAAACGTTGATTCTATAAAAAAAGATTGCTCCATAAGCCATTCCAAAGACCTTCCTTGTGTCGCATTACATGTTTTCCATTGAGAAAGTATGGCAGGATGTGCTCTGGCAAATTCTCAATTGTTCTCAGGTACACCAGACCTAACCTGGCATAGTTTTGATGACCACCAGCAAAAAGTATGGTATCATGGCCTTAACGCAGTAGACATGTAGAAACCAATCTCCCTCCCGTTCAGCTCTGACATAAGCCATCATTATTAGGACAGGTTTGATCAGACAATCAAGCCAAAGCTTAAACGTCTTGCTTTTCTTTGCTCTCTCTTCTAAATTATCCATGAAGGTAGCATAGCATTGTTCAGTAAGATTGTTGATGATTGGTTCAAGAATCACTTCTGCCACCATTCTGAGTGCCCTCATGCACATGGGAAATTTCTTGCCTACTAGCATTTTCGGAACCCCAGCAAACACAGAAGTCATGATATCTGTTAATCCAGTTTCGGTCATTAGGTTCCCAATGGCACCAATGTAGCTCATGAGCATATGCATTCCACCAAGCCTTAATATGAACGAGGAGGATGGAAAAAGCTCTGGAATTGCCTATTGAATTTCTACAGCATATCTGTAGAGCTGCTGGTCTAAAGTGAATAATGTGAATGGCTGTCCTGTTGCCTCAGAGAGTCTCTTTATTTGAAGCATTGATGTCAGTATTGTATCATATTCTGCAGGAGGCATATCAATCAGAGGAAGGTAAACTGCCCTAGTCCTTGGCTGCAAGGCATGTCCCTATTCCCTTGTTCGTTTTGTGTTGTACCTATTATATTCTGGACCGCCATTGTACATGTCTTTGAAGAATTCAAGATCCCTTTCCCTGGCCCTGGTCAAGGCAAGTGCTGTACGTGCTAGAGTGGTTAGAGGTGGAACTTTTATTTTCATAGTGTTTTCAGGTGGTGTTGCCTTCTTTGGACCTGCGTAAAGACCAACCTCGAAATCATATGGAATCTCTTGCGCCATTTGTAACTTTGTAAGTCGCGGTATTAATTCTTCAGTATCATCGTGGTTTTCTTTATTGTCTATCTGGGTCATAAGTAAAGCCATTGAATGTGTTTGGACTTTTCCATTTTGTGAATGGATTTGTTGATCAAAATTGTCACCCACTCCTTGTGTCAGGCCATCTACTTGTCCCTTCAATCTAGTGAAGTCAATGTTAGCATTTGCCACAGAGGCAACAGATTTCTTGAATCACAGTAATTCATCATAAGAGCATGTTATTCCAAAATCATAGAAGGCCTTTACTTGTTCTTTGGAACCTCTCAGCAACACAGCTAAAGCTATCTGTAGAGGAGTGGCTAGGTTCTTCACTACTGAGGTGATAATATTTCCTATCAGAAGAGCAGGCAGTGACATATTTAATTTCTGGCTAACCTTCGACAATATATCACTGAGGGTGACACTTTGAAGCATGGAGCATATATCTTTGTTAATGTGGCTGTAATAACTGTTCCTATCAATTTCAATGTTGCTTATCTCAGCTTTGATCTGTTTGGCCACCTTGTCAATTGCTCTGTCAGTGTCATCTGTATCATCAGGTATCACATGGAGGATTTTGGCTTCATTTGATTTGAATGCTAGTATAGATGCAATTCCTGGTGATGACAGGGTAATTAGATCTCCTCCAAACTGCTCTACTATTTTTGGTATTAGCTGTCTCTTTGAAAGGATATTTCCACCTTCTTCCACATATCTAGTAAATATGTCGATAGAGTTAAATATGTCAGTTTTATTTTCTGCCAAATATTTGACAACATATTCAAAAGCAGTATCTGTATCAGAGCTGGTAGGGTTGGTAATCTTTTGCGCTGCTGCCTGTATTGACTTTGGAGACATGAATGTTGCTTTACAGTCTACGTGATATCTCACATCTGCTGCATGTAAATCAGAGAAAACTCCTCCCATTCTCACCATTACCTCTTCAAATTGACTATCCTTCTTTTTCCACAAACTTCAATGATTGTCTCTTTTAGTCCTGTGTTGCCAAAGGTTTCTCCTTGCCTGCAGACATATGCAGGACGTCATCTGTCTGGGTGTTTGGAATCTTTTACAACAGTGCATGTTTTCCACCACAGAAGAGACATGTTGTAGAAATAACAAATTCCGCATGCTCTGATCGTCTTGCTATTTTGGGTTTTCTTGTAAGATCTTCACACCTGAA